AGGAAGTTACTTTAGGAATTAATACTATATGAGTTCCAGCCTCATGCTTTATGCCTTCAGTACCCCAGTGCAACATATAACCAACTTCCAGAAAACTGTAGCCCATTCACAATGCCCCACAAAATAATATTTTTGAAATCATGAATGTAGGCAGCCCATGCATTGATCTCTGCAAAGGCCCTGAACAGCTTGGTTCCTGGATATCCTTATATCCCCGCTTGATCCCTAAAATCACCCTGAGGAGCACTTACTTCGCTCCCATGTAACAGAGGCCTGACTTGGACTCAACTAGAAGTTGGGCATTTAATGTCACCAATCCCATGCTGGAAACACTCTTGCAGCAGAGATTTGGCAAGTATTCTTGCTTTTGACTTTCAGGCGTCTCTTGAAGACCTCTTTGTGACCTTCATGTGCTGGATTTCCTTTACTTTTTCCAATGGTGTTTTATGTTTTAACAGTGTACAGTGCCCTGACATTTTATGATATGGTGGTATTGAAATACTGTTATAAATAATAAATAAACGACGACAAGCCTTTGCAAACAGTATTCTTGATGGTAATACAATGCATCTGGCCCTGGGGGAGATTTGAGACCCAGCCAGGAATCTAGGCAGGTGGTGTGGTTCTGGGGCAGGAATGTCCTGATCTTTGGCTCCTTGGGATCATTAGTAAGTGTGGAGATCTGGTGAAGGTTCCTGCTCTCCTTGGTGCTCATAAGAAGAGCTTGCTGGATCCGGCCAATGGTCCCTCTAGTCTAGATTTGCTACATACATTTTCCCATCAGCAAAACCTCAGTATAGAGTGTCTTTTAGGGATATTGAAGGCATGGGAGTAAGTTTACTTAATGCAGTTTGTTAAATTATCCCATGCCTTGAATTCAACAAATACTCAGAAGGCAAAATCATCCTGACTACTTGCTCCCCCCCCCCAATAAAATAGCAAGTCTTGCTATGAACAGAACAAGTTTCATCACAGTCTGTTTGTTTACTATCTGAGCTTGTAAACTCGTTCAGGCTAGAGACCTTTTTATTTTTTGCTCATGTTCTCCTTAAGCATGTATAATGATGGGGATACATTTGGCCTCATCTTGGTGGCAGAGCACATGCTTTGCATGCAGAAGGTCTCAGGTTGAAACCTCAGTGTCTCTAGGTAGGACTAGGAAAGACCCTGCCTGAAACCCTGGAGAGCTGCTGCCAGTCAGTGTGGACAGTACTGAGCTAAATGATCCAATGGTTTGAGTTGGTATAAGGTGACTCTCTGTGTTCCTACACAAAGTGTAGCACCTATATAAATAACACTTTATATCTATACTACAAATGGTGCATACATTTTAGAAGCTATGCTCTAACCCCCCCCCCAAACCCCAGCAACAATGTTCAAGGATTGGGCCATGGGCTCTGGTTCTGTTCCACTGAATAAAAACCCAAGGGGTGTGTTTACGGACATCATTTTTGCCGCCCCAGATCCTGAGCTGTGCCTGGGCTTGTAGAGCTATCGCTGGGTAAACTGACCCTTTGATCGCTGTGTTATCGGAAGCTGATGTCCCCAGAGTGATTAACAAATCAGAGAAGGGGATGAAATTCCATGCCCGGTGCTTTTTGTGCTACTGCTCCTCGGGTTTGTTTCTGAAAATGGGACCCTCTCTTTCCATCTCAGCGTGGGCGAGTTTGTGCCGCCTCTAGATGCAAAAATACTTATGAGAATTGATCAGCATTTTAGGGTGCATTTCTTCCAATGTACATATGTTTGTATGCAATTTTGCCTAATATATTGCATTTCTATATATTGTTTCCACAAATATGCACATTTTAATACACACACTTCTGTTACTGTTATTAGTATAACTTAATATATTTATATCCTGCCTTTTTCCTACATTGGGGTGCAAGGCAACCTACAACATTTAAAAAACATCAACTTTGGACCTTAGGGTAATGAAAACCAACTAGATAAAAACCAAGAATACAAATACATCACATTTAAATCCAGCAGTTGAAATGCAGCTTGCCCTGACAGCAGCGCAGGGATCAGAACGTTTCACACCTTAGTTTTCAAAGGCCTGTCTGAACAGGAAGGTCTTTGTCTGTTGGTGGAAGGATAACAAAGAGGGAGCCAGTCTATCCTCTCTTGGAAGGAGGGACTTCCACAATATGGGAGCAGCCACAGAGAAGGATCCATCTCTTGTCTCCACCCATCACACTTCTGATGTTGATGAGGCTGAGAGAAGGTGCTCACTTGAGGCTCTTAGCATCCAGGCAAGTTCGTATAGGGGGATATGATCTTTCAAGTTGCCTGGGCCGGAACCATATAATATGCGTTTAATTAATTTTTTGCTGGGAGAACTTCAAGTTCCAAGAAGTGTGAATTTCGAAGAATAGCTGCATTTCTGTTCACATATTGTTGTGAAAGTGCAAATCAGGTAGGCTCACGCTAAAACGTACACCTAATTGAATGCATGGTACGTTGTGGAAATGAGTTGTGCACCTGAGCCACAGAGGGGGCCACAGACAGAGACTCCCTTAAGGATCTCCATGATCAGGCAGGGATATAAGGAATCAACTGTTCTGAAGGTATGTTGTCCTGGACCCAAGTTGTTAATTGCATGTAAGTTAATATAAGAACCTTGAAGTAGCATATGGGCAGTCAGTGCAAGCTTTTAAGCTTTTAAGCAATGGAGTGATGGCAGTAGTCAGTCCCCACCAACAATCTAGCTACAGCATTTTGTGCCAGCTGAAGCTTCCAGACCAAGTCCAAGGGTAGCTCCATAAAGAGCGCATTGTAATAATAATGTCTTGAGGTTACCAGTGCATAAATCACTGGGACCAGGCTATCCCTGTCCAGGAACAGCTGTAACTTGGCCTATCAGCCGTAGCTGGTAAAAAGCACTCCAAGTCAACTGAAGTTACCAAACTATGTTGTCCCTGTTTGGCTGGTATCCTGCGATCATTCCTGGAAGTGTTACCCTTCTGTTTTGATTGGTGTCAACATGTGGGCAGATCTGATTGGGTGCATACCATTGTGACATCATTGGGATCTCTGGAATCTCTGCATGGCTGGGATCACTGTAGGAAGATTGGGGGGACGGACCACGGTAGGAGGTTGGTGAGGGGAAGGACCCCTAACTATAATACAAAATGGCGCTGAAGCATCAGGAGAGAGGGGAAGCAATGAAAAGAAACAGCATCAGAAAATAGCGGCCCTTTGCACAATTTCAGGAACTAATTTCCAACCTGCAAAAGTATTACTTTATACCTGAAAATCAAGATGGGTGAATGTTCAGCAGAGCCTGAAGGTTACTGTAGTGTTCTAACTGGAGCAGAAAGCTGCAAGGGAGCCAGCTTTCAGCATCCCAAGGTCTGAGTGAGTGTTACTTGGCTGAAGACATGGGAAGGATTCCATGCTGAAATAAGCACAGGATCCGTCATAAACCCAGTGACCGAGGAGTGTTCGGACTAGTGGGACACTTCGTACTTGAACAGAGTAACGGAGGCTGTTAAACAAATACCGAGAAGAGTTCGAGAACAGTGAAAACCAGGCAGTAATCTGATCCTTCCAAGAGCTTTACAGCCAACAGCACCACCTTCCACAGTTCTTTACAAACACCTTTTTGGGTTGAAAAAATATTGGTTTGGCTCTGGAAAAGTTCCTTTTGCTTCAACTGCTACCAGATGCGGAACAGTGGCGGAGCTTCAGGGAACGCTTCCAAAAGAAATAGCAGATTGGTCTCACCAGGGATGCTGTTTTGAGTCTGAAGAGTTCCTTGTTGTACATGCAAACAAGAGTTCCTCTACCACCACCCAACAAATCTGGAGCATCCGGAATGCAGCTCCTGAGTTCGAATTCAGTTTATCTGCTGGGCTACTGGAGTTCTCATCTGAGATAAAAGTTTGAAGGTTCAGACTAATAGGGGAAGGAACAGCACTGTGTGTCAACACTTGCTTCTTTGTTATTAACTATTACCTTGCCATTCCTCCAAAGTGCTCAGGGTCACATACATCCTCCGTCACCATGTTTTATCTTCATGACAGCCCTGTTAGGTTGGTTCTGCCAAGAGAGATGTGCACATGAGGTTGCCCTGTACTGAAGCGGAGCACTGGTTTGTCTAGCCCAGTACATTACAGCAAAGAGCAGCTCTATAAATACTTGGGAAATCTAGTCCTTCCCAATACCAGTCTTTTTTCCCTTTTTTAAAAAAAGGCAAAAACAAAACTAGAAATTTCAGAAATTGAACACGGAACCTTCAGCAAATGCAAAGTGTATGTTCTCCTGAGCAATGGGGTTGTCAGGTCAAAGGTCACCACTGAATTTCACAAAGAACTAGTCCATGGCCATCCGCATGGCAGAGCAAGGATTTGAACCCAGGTCTGCCAGGCACAAGTCCAACATGTTAATCATGGCTCCTTATTGGCTCCCAGTAAACTTGCTTACTGATGAATAGGCACAGTCTCTTGATCTTTCTTCTACTATGGACCCTACACACTACCGGAATGTGGGCCACCACTTCTTTCACTCAGAGGAGAGGGGAGCAGAGGGGCAGCTGCCACACAACATTGGCTTGACATCTTGAGCTTCGAATAAACCAAAGCAAAACAAAACCTGCAACCAACCATCCATTGGAAACTTCTTGCTAGACCACCCAGAGGCCCATCTCTTGAAAAGCCTGCCAAGATTATTATTGGCCATTGTACCACCCTGCCCCCATTGGCTCTTTTCACCTTGTATTTGTACTGTGGCACTCCTGGAGAGTTCATTTAAGCCATATTTCCCATCCTGGTGCCATCCAGAAGTTTTGTACTACAGATCCTAGCAGCCACCACGTGCAAACTTCATGCAAACCAGGATGAATGCTTCTTACACAGGCTGTCTGGAAGTGACCCAAGAAACATAGGAAACTGCCTTACACTGAGTCAGACCATTGGCCTACGTAGTTCAGTATTGTCTACACTGACTGGCAGCAGCTCTCTAGGGTTTTAAGCAGGGGTCTCTCTCCCAGCCCTACCTGGAGATGCCAGGGATTGAACCTGGGACCTTCTGCATGCAAAGCAGCTGCTCTGACAGTGAGCTATGGTCCTTCCCTTAAAGGAAAAAGGCAGGAATTAGGTTTAATAATTGTACTCTTGTTCTTCTCCATTTCCCTAATTGTTGACCCCCCCCATTCCAAAAAAACAAAACAAACCTTCATTCTCTTCTCATGGGCCTCTAATCCACTTTGAGTCTGCAGTCAAGACAAAGGTCTTTGTAGAACAATCCAGAATATTAGGTCCCGGCAATAAGGTTTCTATGATGATCATTCCAAAGCCTCCGAAGGGGGTTAAAACTGACCGCTCTTTAGCAATGTCATCAGCGGCTTGTTTGGCTGTGGCAATGAATCTGAAAAGGGCAGGGTTGTGTCTGAGTTTGGGTGTAAAGCTGGGGCAGCATTGTGTGTGTGTGACATTGTCCCTCCGATGAAGTACTTCCGTGAGCAAACCTCTTTGCCTTTCAGGAAAACATCTTCCAAGTCATGTGGTTTTGTTTTTTAATCCCCTTTTTAAGGCAAAGGCTTTAGATCTACGGGTACTTACAGGCAAGTGAATCCTTGCTGCTTTTGTCCAGAATATTCTGAAGTGCATTTCTGGAATACTTTTGTCAAGATTTGATGGCTGGCCTGTTCCATCGTTGAGTGCCCACCGCATTGTGAGAGCCAAACTCTCCTGAGGTTGATTTAAACCCTGTGCTTTTTAATAACATAATGAAAGCTAATCCCCGCCATCCTGTGTGTTTCCATTTGTTGCATTGGACCCCATTCACCTACGATGGGTTTATCTGCAAATATTTTCATTCAGTTGTTGCTTCTTAGGACTTTTCTTTTGGTTACATCACTTGAGGCCAGGCTACTTGAAGTGATTTTGTCCTGGAGAAAAAAGAGGAGGAATGTGATTTCCACCTTGCTGTTGTGCAAAGCAGACATTGGAGGGGAAAGTGGGGTGGGGAGAGAACTAAATCCTCTCCTAGCTTTTGCTTCAGGATCCGCATAAGAGGTCATTATAGAAGCGAGGGACTCTTGGCTTTGATGGAGAAGCTAAGCTAGTTTCACAATTCAAGGAGCCCCCTCTGCCTCATCTGAGTTGGGCCACTAGCGGTTCTCACCCATTAATGTTGACCCTGATTGGCAAGGTCTTGAGTTCTCAGCTGGATTCTTTGATTCACTTATTCCCAAGCTATGTGCTGTGACAATGCTTCTGGTAAGAAGCTAATAACAGGTGGTGGCAGCGATAAACAGTCTTCCCCTCTATCAGCAAGATCAGATGGTGACTGATGACAGACATGGGGCCCAAACAGGGCCGCTGAAAAACAAGAGGGGGAGAGGAAAGTTCATTTCTAAAAGGAATTAGTTCCAGTTCCAATTCACCCTCTCCAAAAAGGAACGAATGCCATTTCAGTTCAATTCACATTTCATTCACACGGTCCATCCATGCCCTCCGCCCAAGTCTTCAGAATTTTACAAGATGCTCTGCTGAAGTATAAAACATACTTAAGAAGACTAAGAAAACATCCAAATACACAGAATGTAACCTCTTTTTATCCCCCAACCAATAATTGCAAATTGTGGGGTTTCTTATAGCTCATTGGAGCCTAGAAGAAAGCACAGAAATCATGCAAAGAATCACTTTTGCTAAGATGGGAGGATAAACAACATTCTGCTATTGTAATTATGATAATTCCTATTAGTAGAAGTAGCCAATCCATTGGCAGGCAGCTGCTTAGGGGGAGGCAAAGCGAACCCAGGGCTCATCCGCACAGGTCCATGCTTTAAAGCTCCATGTCCGAGCACTTTCTCTTTTTTTGCCCTGGAAAACCCTCTCTTTGAATCAGAGCAAACGGCAGCCACAAAGCACAGGCCAAACAGTATGTATGGATGAACCCCCAGTTGTGCAGGCACGGCAGCCACTCTCCTGTATGAGTGGGTTTTTTGTTTTTTTTAGGGGCCTTTAACAAGTCACACCGTAATCCTAAGCCACTTTTTCAGTATTTCTTACTTCTTAGGTAAGGTTGTTTAGGGTTGTAGCCCCAATTTATACTCTTACCCAAGGGCCAGATGGCTTAACCAGGCTCCAGTCCTTGCAAAGCCTGGGCTCTCATTGCCAAGCAGTGACTCCACAATATGTTTCTCATTTAGCTGCCATACATTTAAAGTATGTCTTGTGAGTTTTAGGAGAAATGTCTGCATTTTCTTTTTTTAATAGAAAAGTTTCATAATGTCTTTGGTGGTGTGGCATGGCTTCAGAGCCCATAGAATTGACTCACTTCTTTAGCTTGGCCAAATAATTTTGGGCTCACCAATCATAAAGAGGGGTGTCCCTGTTTGCCTCTCTCAGGGGCTGGAGGCTGTTTCCCCCTAAATAACCCTCTGCTGAAAAACCAGAAACTGCTGGCAGTGTTGCTAAGGTTGTCCTCATTGTCTGCCACCAGGTTGGGTTTTCTCTATGAGAAATGGGGCAATTTAGCTGCAGGAATCTTAGGACATATCTATATGACCGCATCCTCCAACATGGCACAGCTATTTCACAGAACTCAATTTGAGACACTTTTCCTCTGGAAAGATCTCTACTGTTTGAAATCTGAGTAGCTTTCCACTGTGCTGGGGCATGTGTGTTAAGTTTGTCTAATGTGTGAGATTGTCACATGTTAAGATTATTTTGTTTTCTTTCAAACACCCCCCCCCCCAAATTGTTGTTGTTATTCACTTTCTTCATTTCTGTCCTGGCAGTCTAGAAAGCCTTTTCCTTGCTGTTCCCTTTAGTATCCTAATCCTAGGTGAAACTTTTTTTATCGAAGATGCTTGATTTACTAGTGAGCTTGTAAATGAGTGAGTTTTGTGATCCATGCATCAGCAGTGGGGGAGGCAGAGGGGAAATATCTGGCCAGCTATCATGAGTCCTGGGGAGACATCTTGGTGGAATCGGAAGGAATGGGATGAGAAAATGGATTTGGAGGAATTGGATACTAGGCGTAAATCGGGATCCAGTGGAGGGGCCAAGCGGACTGTTGGAGATATAGCCTCCCTGGTGCCATCTGGCATTCTGAGCTCCACATCATAGCAGACTGACCCTGTGGACTCTGCCTCTGCTACCAAGGGCATAGGGACAGAGCCGTCTTTCCTATTGGGCTTACTGGCACATTGCACCAGGGCGCTGGCCTCTCAGGGGCACCCCAGTGAATGGGGGAGCTGCACGGCTTTGCCAGCAGCCTCCCCTTTCCCTGCACACCCGCCAGCTGTGCCCTGTCAACCATATGGCTGGCGGGCATGCAGTTTGCCTCCCAAGCCTTCCTGGGAGGAGAGCGATCCCCTCAGAGGCATAGGATGGAAGCTGCATGGCGCCAGATATGCTTAAGATGGCCCTGCATAGGGATGACTGCCGGCACAAACAGATTCAGCAAGCCCATCCTATTCTGAGGAGCTCCCATTTGCTTGCCCGGTCCCATGGCTTGGATCTCCAACTGTGCAAATGTCTGTGCCCACCCTTCTCTTCAAAAGATCCAGGAGGTGGATCTCAGGTCTTGTGACAAAGTCTCAGCTCACACCTGACCATGAATTTAACTTGTTGCGCTTCCTCTTAACCGGAATGTTTGCCTCCTGACTGACATATCACACTGACCTATGCATTCAAGCCTTTGACAGAAACTGAGTTGGGTGTCTGACTGCTGCATCCTTCTGCAGGGGGCCAGGGCACCAGCAACGATGCGGGAGGTCGATCATTTCACACATAGAACTACCTAGCTCACTACTACTAACACTGAATCACAGCAGATCTCCAGCTTTCAGGAAGGGGGTCTTTTTCCTGGTCCTACCTGGAGATACTGGGGGTTGAACTTGGGGCCTTTTGCATGCACAGCACATGCACTCTGCACATTTGATGGTACATTTGATGGACATTTAACTTCCCACAAAGAATTCTGGGATCCCGAGTTTCCTCCTCAGAGAGCTACATTTCCCAGCACCCTTAGCAAACTACAGTTCCCAGAATTTTTTGTGGGAAAGAGTTGCTTGCTTTAAATATGCTCTGAATGTTCTTCAGATGTATGGTGTGGCTCTGCCCACAATCCTTCTCCAATTTTTTTTTGTCTGGAAAATGTCTTATAAGCTACGTACAAAGCAGAAAACAATCCAATTTCTGAGTGCATCTCATTTTTATTATTTATTTAAAGCAGGTGTGGGGGGATCTCCCTCCCTCCAGATGTTGCTCGACTACAACTCCCATCATTCTTGACCATTGGTTGTGCTGACTGGGGCGGTAGTCTAGCAACATCTGGGGAGACGCAGCTTTTTCCACCCCCAATTTAAGATGTTTATACCCCACCCTTTAGCAACACAAATCAGTTCTCGAGCAGTCCCTGCACTCAGGCTCATAATCTGAAAAGGTATGAAACACGAGGGAAAAGGAATGGGTGAGAGGAGGGGAAAGCAAACCTCAAGCACAAAAACACTGACAGCCAATGTCAGTGGTGGTTCTCCTTATCGTGCCTTTGGGTAACTATATCTAGTAAAAACAGTGGTTTAACTGAGATAGATACACAGCCCAAAGTGGTGGAAAAGTCACCAGTAGAGTAATCATGTGTACAACCTGCCCCCTTGCTATTTTCCGTCTAAGTTCCAAATTTTCCAGAACAGGTTATGATTTCACATGGTATACCCTGAGTAACGATCAGCTTTCATTTTCAAACTGTTGGCTTTGGATTATTGGCAACTTTTACGCACCCAAATTTAGAAGAAAATTTCAGAGTTCCTCCTCCTTAAAGGCCTTGTCTTTAAACGTTTAAACACAAACCACATCCAAAACTTTGGCACGGATCTGTCATTTTTGCTGGCGATTATTTACCTCTCATTTTTCATGTTTCCCCAGGATGAAAAATGAGCAAGCAACTAATGTGTATCTTGCCTCCCGTAAAAACAACAACAGCTCAGCTCTCAGGGCCAAATTCAATTAAAAAATTACACCAGACTCCTGTGGGTTTGTTTGTTTTTTAGCAATTCCGCACCACCACCACCACCCCAGCCCCCTGGCACAACAATTTTGCTTTATTGAACTG